GGGGGGGGGTGCGCGTGCACATACACACACACACACACACAGAGCTGGGACCCCAGGAGAACCAGGTACCTGCGTAGTTCTCGTTGCCCTGGGCAACCTCCCCCAGCAGCTGGGCAATGGCAGAGCTGACAGCCTTGGTGCTGCTCCCCAGGTCCTGGGCACACTTCTCCATCTGTGGCACAGGCAGACCATCAGGAAGGGCCCGGGAGCCTCCAAGTGCCACCCCCGTCTTCCCCGCCTCCCTCAGCTCCACTGAATCCCCTCCCCTGCACCGGTGCTAAGCCTGCACGTCCCTGCCCACGCACCGTCTCCCCCGGGAGGGGCTTCAGCTTGCCGTCCCGTGCAGCTGCCTTGGCCTCCTGCAAATCCCTCTCCAGGCTCTGCACCAGGCTGAGGGCCGAGTCGATCTCCAGAGGGCCACAGGCCTCCTGAGCCTGGGGGAAGAAGAGGACCCCTGTCCTGTCAGCAGCACCCCTCCCCCCGGGCCTCTTGCCAAGGCCAGGCCAGGAGTTTCGCATTCTCCTGACGAAAGGGAAGGGGGCCTCCCCAGGGAAAGAGGGCAGGGCCACTCAGGCCCCAGCACGAGAAGCAGCCGTCCCGGACAGGGCGAGGCGCTTCCTCTGCGCTCCTGGGACTCCACCGGGGGAGGCCGATCCTCAGAGGCCCGCGGGCGAGCTTCCTTACCTTCTGTGCTGTAGTGCGGAGTTCAGCGAGAGCCGCCGCCAGGTTTTTAGCACACTGGCTGAGCTGCATGGCAGAGGCCTGGTCCGAGACGGTGGGCACCGTAGCCTTGGCAGCCGCCACCATCTTCCCACCGGGCTACAACAGAAAGGGGACGGGCAGACATCACGCGGAGCAGCCGGGCTTGCCAGACTGCATGCCATAAACCCCGTCTCCCCCCGATCAGGACCAGAGCATCTGCTCACCTGCAGGAAGTTCTGGCTGGCAGCGATGAGGGCCAGCTGGGCACTGGGGCTATCAGGCTGGGACTGGCTGCCGCGAACTCCCTGCACCAGCATTGGGATCTGATCAGCCACTACCTGCCAGGAGAAAAGAGGACAGGAAGTCTCTGGCCGCGCTGCCCCGGCTGCAGGCCCACCCTGGATTAGCCCCAGAGGGGGAGGCCTTCCCCGCTCCCCTTCAGGGATACGAGGCCTCTGGGCCCCTCTCACCACCCCCCACCGAAAGCCTGCCTCATGCCCCGATCCCCCTCTAGCCTAACAAGGACCCAGCCGCCCTCCTTTCTCCCCGGCATCTCTGGAGGTCCCTGCTGCCTGTGCCGCTCTGCTGACTGCGCAGAGAAGCCGCCCTCCGCCAAGACCTCTGTGCCCAGAGCAGCTGGGCTCGTCCGCCAGACTGGCTGCCTCCAGGTGACCAAGAGGTGAGCCAGACTAGCACCGCGCTCAATTCCTGCCCGCCTGCGGGGCCTTCGCTCTTCTACCAGGAGATTACGGTGAAGACAAGCCTGCCCCATCTGCGTCTGGGGCCAGGAATCAAGGGGGCCCCAAGTTCAAGGGCAGGGCAGGATGAGCCTTACCTTGCAGCTTTGCACGAGCTGCTGCTGGGCAGAAGGGTTCTTGCTCCCCGTGGCACTGTGCTGGGCAGCCGCAATCATCTGGGTGGCAGCCGCAGCAGCTTGTTTGGCAGCGTGCTGGAGAGAGAGACTGAGGTGGGCCCCTTGCCTTCCGAGTCAGACCCAGCTGGCAAGAGAGGGCAAAGTGGGGAGCCTTGCCCCTCCCTGAAGCGCCCACCCCCGAGACCGACCTCCAGCCGATGCACCAGCTTCTTCTTGATCGCATTCTGGGCTGCAGCGTTGGTGGCCATGCGGAGCCCCTCGGCCGCCTCCCGCAGGCGCTGCTGCTGCTCCTCGCTGTCCGGGTGCGCCGCAGCCCCCTGGCAGGAATGACGGAGGCCCCTGTCAGGGGCACGCTCCCTCCCCAGATTCCTCTGCTCCGAACTGGAGCCACCCCCAAGCTCACCCGGAGGGGGTGGATCACGCCTCAACCTTCCCGGAAGGTATGCCATCTCCCAGATGTGGCTTGCCAAGGACAGAGGGCCGTTTTCTGCCCGGCCCAGCTTTGGCCATACAGCCAAATGGGCACTGCCTGCCTAAATGCCTCATCGCCCACTCTGCGCATACTAAGTGCCAGACCTTTGCTGCTTCCACCATTTTGGCCGTCGCGTCTGCCAGGATCTTGGCAGCGCTCAGCAATTTCCGTGAGTTTTCCAGGTCGGTCTCCCCCTCCGCATCAGCTTTGATGGCGTTCACCAGGTCAGACGTTGCCTGGGCCAGAATACGAGCCTGACGAACCATTTCACCTGGGGGGTTGGAGAGTGAGGAGAGGCCATGAGGGAGGCCGCGATGCTCCTGGCGGATTCTGAGGCACCATCAAACACACAACTGCTGGCATCGCCCTCCAACTCTGGGGCTATGCAGACAGGGCTGCTTCCTCACCAGCATCTCCCATGGAGCTGAAGATGTTCTCTGTGACGTTGAGGATGGTGTCAGTGGCCTGGTCATAGCGCCCGACCGGCTGCCCGCCTGTGGCGTGCTGCTTAATGTGCTCTAGCAGGTCATTGAGTGCCTGGGTCACAGCGGTGGCGGCCACCCCCACCTGTTTCAGCAGCTGCTCGTCAGAGGTGGCCGCCTGGGAGGCGTCCACGCAGCCCTCCACCGACTTGGCCACCAACTTTCCAGCCTCGATCAACTGTTCCTGGCAGACGGGGGAGCTGATGGTGGGAGCAACTACCTGCCACGAGGAAGGAGCAAGAAGCACGGGGTCAGGAGCCAGGCTCTCCGGCAACCCGTCCAGCAGAGAAAAAACCTGGCCTGCCGGAGTCGATTTATGTGCTGGGGCAGCAGGGTGGGTCTCCCTTAGCAGGAAGAAGGTCTCAGGACACAGGACACCGGCCCTGCTCCCCCGGCCCAGGCAAAGGAGAGAGGGGCCCCACTGCCACCATGGCTGGCCCCGAGCAACCACCCAAATCCCAAGCTGGAAACACCCACCTTGGTGCAAGCCACCAGCTGGGAGGTGGAGAGGGCACACTGCGTGGCTGCTGCGATCACCTGGGTCTGCAGCACCGAGTCCTCCGTCTTCTGGGCCACGTTCTTGGCCTTCAGCACCAAAGCGGCAGCCGCGCTGGCCACTGCCTTGGCTAGCTGCATCAGCACGTCCTGGGGAAGGAGGGGGAATCAGGAAGCTCGCAAAAAGCCCAGCACAGGGCGTCTGTCCTCTCTCCTCCCCCCACCGAAGCTAAGGCACCCACAGCCACTGGAACGGACCCCAGCCGCGCTTCCCCCGGGTCTCCTGTTGGGGGCCAGCCACACTTCTACGGCCAGCCTTCCCACTCGGTACCGAACCTTCACCAACAGCAGCCTCAATCTCAGGCGCTGAGCGCTGCACACCGAGCCCGTCACCAAGTCCAAGCAGCCACAGCTGGGGGGCTGCCAGGGCCAAAGGGGTTGGCAAGCACCCTCTTGCACCAGTCGTAAGCCTCCCACTTTGTGTCCCCTTTCCTGGCCTGGCCAGGCCCCCTGAAATCCCCTGTACCCAGAAGGGACCCTACCTCTGGATTTTCAGAGTGCCAGGCCGCCCCCGCTTCCCTCACCCCTGACAAAGCAGGTCAGATCAGGTACTGAGTCCTAGCAGCGGGACTTGGTCACCCAGCCCTAGATCTGCGATCGCTTTCCAAGGGACTTTAGAATTAGATGGGTGG